ATGAAGCTGATGCATCTGACCCCATCCATGCCCTGATTGTGGTCAAACTTCTAAAATTGATAAGGAGAAAAAATGTTTACTTTTTTTTTTAGGATATCATAATCATTCCATATTTTTTCTCTTCGTTGTTGTTTATTGATTTTTACATGATTAGGATTAGGATGGAAGGATTACACTATGGGTTAAGGATTTTGAAGCATTACAATATTTCTCTAATCTTTAAAAATACATGATATAGGGGGGGAAAGAACTTTCTCTAACACACTGACATGACTTTTTGTAGACATACTTCAAAACATGAAATTCTGAAATGTCTTTTAGTTTGCCATCCCTTTCTTATTAGTCCCATCAAAACTTTCTGGAAAACCCCTTGCCCATCGACTGTGCGTTTTTGGTGTTTTCTGAAAAGTTGTTTCTAAGATGATCAGTATAATTTAGGCTTTTATAGCACATAGTCTGTGTCAGTGAGCAGGATTTCATCTTACGACTTTTTTGAATGAGGAAGCTTCTGCAGTCCACCCCTCCCTCAGTAAAAACAGAAACTAACACAGAAAAAAAATATCTTGTTAATAGACTTTTGGGGGATCTCGAGTTAATTGGGTGTAATATATTGATGTCATGTGTCATTGTATTTTACAGACTGGGATTAAAATTTTCTATAACTATTATTTCTTTCCTGCTGTAATCCATCTATTCAACTATTCATTTATCCCCAATCTTATTATTCAGTATCAATATTAAGATGGGTCTCTGCCTTTATAATCGTTTACTGTTTGAAACAAAGAAGAAAATGGAAGCAGGAGAGGTTTGTCACTGCAGCGCTGGAGATGGACGGGATCTTTCTGGCTGTTTATTGCTCAGTCTCTAAACAAAGAGCCTGGGTAGCCTTAATGTGATCAATCTTTCCAGACAAAAAGGTCTGACAGCTCCCTGCCAGAGAAGGCATCTGAACCACACAGCACTCCTTAGATCACATGTGACCGAGAAGAGGACAGTCTCACTGACTGGGGATCTGTTTTTTTTAGCTTAAAGATGCTTTTTTTGCAAAATTTCTAAACATTATAGCTTTTTGAAGTCCATGTGCGTCTTGTAAATATTAAACTTTTCTTTTTGCAAAAGGTGGCATATTGGATTTATAAAGACGGAGCTGAAACTTGAAAGCGCCTAAATGTTTCTTGAAAGGAGCCAAGCAGCTTTTTATTGAAGGGTTAAATATTCTTTAGGTGAGTGGGTGCTCAGCATATATGCTGTTTTCTTTGACTTTAGGAGAATGTGTTCTCCTCTGAAATAATCCATTTGAAAATAAACACAATTTGCTAACTGTTGCTGAATGTTTAATTCATAACATGCATAAAAAAATAGCAAACATTTGGTTGTTATAATTTATCTTTAACCAACTCACTGTTTATAACAGAGCCAGCTGCTCTAAAATATCCTGCAGTTGAATCACTTAAAACTATATATTTTCCTTAAACTCTGCACACAACATTATTTACAGCTGCTTTGACCCCAAAATCAAAAATGCTTAAATGGACACAGATGTGCAAACAGAGGAATGAGGAAGCAGAGAAAGTTCCTAAAATATTTTCAGCAATACAGAATAGAACAGAATGACAAGAAATGTAAATAAGCAAAATAAAAGTCAGATTTTGTACCTTCTAAAGCTGAAATATTATCTTGCTCCTTCTACTCAGAAGCTTTATTTATGCTTTCTGTTTTGCAAGTTCGCCTTCGACGTGTGGAGGACCAAGAAGAGCTCCGTTTCCCGACTACTTTGGAGACATTTGGGAGGGAAGCCTGCAGCCATGCACCCACGGACGGGGAGTCTTTAAAACAGAAGATATATTTTACTCACTGTGCAGGGAACAGGTGTTATTTTCATCATAAGTAATAAAAACCCAATAAATAAATCAGAAACGACAAGAGTGTGTGTCTATGTTTTTGAAGTTTGCAAAATTATTATTTTCATGGGAAATTTATACTGATCTACGACATTTTGAACTTAAACATGTGTGATAGATTGATGATTAAATAACTGATGATATAGGCCTACAGTAAAAAAAAATATTGTGTGTTTTCTTTGGCAAAACAGAAGTCTGAGGGTGTAGGCCTGTGTTAGAGGTGGGGGTCGAAACCAAAGCAGTTCTTAGATAGGATTTTAGAATTATTTTTATATTTACAACTTGTCAAGGTGCAACTTGATATGGTATTATTTTTGGCTCGTAAACATTAAATCTAAAACAATAAAGTGACTTTTCCCAGCATAAAAGCAAAGAAATTACCTTCACATGTTGAAAAAAAAAAGTGTAATGAAAAATCTACGTTTAAGGCTGATTCTATGAACAAAATCACACCCACGGAACCCACTGCTAACCCTGCCACGCATTGCAACTCGGTTGCATAAAGAATGGAGCGCCATTTTTGGCACATTTACAATTCAGCAAGGCTGGGAGTCATCAGATTACTCCACACCTCACCATAACTACACAAGACATTTTTATCACAAACAGATCAATTCTGCAGAAATGTTTTAGTTGCCCTGAGAGAATAAGATTAGTTCAAAACATATTTTAATTAATAGCCTAGTTCTAGTAACTGTAATAGTGCAGGAGTATTAAAAACTCAACTAATCTCCATTTTAATCTCCAAATTTAGAAAAATCTCTTTTTTTTCTGATTTACAAACACTGCTTCCTTGCAGTTCAATTGTGGATAAACTCATCACTCTCATCCCAAACTATATGATGCTGACAGTGCGGCTTGGAAGGGCTAAATGTGCTCAAGTCTCCCCCCTCCTGATCTGCCCCCTCCCCTCCAAGAGTCCCCTCTGTCACTAGTGTCATGAGATGTGATGAATAGGGGGGTCGTAAAAGGCCGCTGCAAACAACTTCCTAGCAACTTTCTGTTTTTCTGCAGCACGGCTACGCAAATGGAGAATGTCCAGCCCTTGCTTTGGGGATCAGGCAGCGGGAATGGCATTCAGCCACAGGAACAACACTGTATTCCTAACTGAGGTCTGGATGGTGGTGTGTTATTTATGGTTTTTGGCACATGTGAATATCAGCTCTCGTTAGAATATCCCATCAGTGTCCAAGACGGGGGAATTACGCAATGAATGCGCCACATGCCCTTTTGCGTGGTGAGAGCAGGGCTAGGGAGGGAGGTGGAGAGAGGAAGCAATTTACGCAGAAAGGAAACGAAATGATTTTCCTTATTATTTAGATTACAAATTCAGAGTATTACATAGGCCTACTCTGGGGATCAGAAGAATTAGATGTCAGCTTTATTAGCCATGATTTATTAAGTCATAATTTATTTAGAATCTACACGTGGTTTAGGGTAATTATAATTTTTAACAGCAGTCATTGGCGATGAGTGGTTTTTGTTATGAAATAAAGAAAAAAAACTCCAGAACACAGTTTTAGATTAGATGGTAATTCCAAGCGGAATTCCAACATGCATTCCAACAGGAGCGGCGTCTGTGTGCCTTGAACGCATCATCTGCTCTAGTTTCCAAATGAACCGTTGGCGCCCCCTGCCGATCCCCTGAGCGAAGCAGCACTGAATAGGGAACAAAGCCTTTACTGCATTATTACAAAGCTTCATTAGGCCTGCTTGAAGATTTGCTCCATCAGAACTACTTTTCAGGTTGAACTGGCCTTTTTATTTCGTTCCTGAGACGGTGTAAATACATTACATGTAAAATCCCTGTAAACAGAGCCCATTCTCTGCCTAGAGAGCCCAGCGCAAAAAAAGACAAACAGCAAAGGGATGACTCTGGTCTGAGACAGTGGAATTGCCACTAGACGGTTGTAAACTAATTACACCTTTGAAGGCAGACCCATATGCACTCCTGTCTGCTGCACCAAACACCCCCCTCTGTATAATGGGGGGGCTTTGTTGGCACCCCTTTGCATCCGATTTGTTTGCTGGAAGCAAGTTAAAAATGAGGCCTATGTGTTTCCACGAACCTTTGCTTGCTACGCAATTTTCGCACCTTATAAAATGTCGGGTTATGGTAGTAGGAGAAGGCAGCTACAGTTTATAGAGCAAAAAGGGAGCTGCTGCTTTTAGAGAAAAAAAACAGACGCTGAGATTCAGAAAATAATTGCACCAATCTGATTTTTTTTAGCCACATAAATGTCCTGATATCTTTCAGTTTTCAAATGCATCCTACCTTTTAAAAACACTTTACTAAATTGAGAAAAATAAAAAAAAAATCTAACAAAATAACAATACGATCAAATGAGGAAAAAAAGTAACATTAAATATATTTCACTCAACAATTAAAATAAATTCACATTATTGCTGACTATGCCTCTAGTTCTATTTTCATCCAACTGTGAGGAATCATTCTGAATACAAATTATTAAAATAGTAATAGATAAATGTATAACATTATTGAAAATATTATTAAAAAATAATATGTGGAACACGTTTTGGTTAGATTTTCATCATGTCGCCCACAACAAATTCTTCCACCAATTCATTCAAAGCTGAACATATGGGCTACTTCCTACATAATACAACAGCAGAAAAAAAACTTAAAATTCTTAAAAAGTAAAAAAAAAAAAAATGTGCAGATTTTAATTACACAATACATTCCTTACATTTTCAATATCTTAAAAATGGCTCACATCATGATCATTGACATTTAAGCCAGCAGAAGTTTTGAATTTGATTAAAACTTTGAGCCTTTCTGACAAAACAAAAATGTGGTTAAGGTGTTTGCAATACCAAAAGATTTTTTTATTCATTTTTTTATTGAATAATTGTAAATAAAATCCTTTGCAAAATAAAAAAAAATAGGAAATCTGTGTATATATATATATATATGTATATATATATATATATATATTGTAAATAAAATCCTTTGCAAAATAAAAAAAAATAGGAAATATAAGCGTTATTTTTCCTTTAAGCTAAATTTATCTTATTGCAACAGGAACACAACGAATTTTTTCTTTACCCAAATGGTAACGAATCACTGCCACATAGTTCCAACCAACTACACTTTATTTTGAATCAAATATGTAGGCTACTAATGAGGTATTTCAAGTGTGCACATAGTTTTGACAAATGCATCCGAACATTTAGACACACAAGGCCGCAAAACAATAAGTTAACCAAAGCAAATAGGTAGCTGAAGGATATCTAGGTAGTCAAGTATCGGTTCATGCAAATAATAAACGGCCTACAGAGTCAACAGTATGTGTGCGCAGAATACAAGACATCCAAATTTACAACGTGGCACAAACACAGAAAATATGAAAACCGAGAAACAGGGACACCCGAGTGTTGTTTTAACAACACTAATTTACAACAATTACCGAGAATTACAAGACACCCCCCCACACACACACACCCTCCATCTCCTCCCCCCTCTCCCCCCTCCTCCAGCTTTAAATCCAAAGACGCATTAGCTGTCTTTCCGTCTGTCTCTGTTTTCTTTTTTCATCTTCATCCTGCGGTTCTGGAACCAGATTTTCACCTGTCTCTCGGTCAAATTCAGGAGTCTCGCCACTTCGTACCTGCGCTCCCGAGGGAGGTACATGTTGAAGAGGAACTCTTTCTCCAGTTCGAGGATTTGGTGCTTGGTGTAGGGGCAGCGCTTTTTCCTGGTGGGCTTTGCGTGAAGCCAGTTGGACGAGGGGTTGTCTGGAGGAAAAGAGGCATCATAAGGGTTTTGAATGTTCTTTTTTTTATTCTAAGCTCCTGTTTTTAACACATAGAAAAAGAGATGGCACTCCTGTGTTTGCCATCCCTTAGAAAAACAATTTTTCAGATTAAAACCAGGTTTTAATTTGGCTTAAAATTGACTATCCCCATTACTACTAGGCCATAGACTTGAATAAATAAGGAAAATGTTTCTTTGCTTACTTGCATCCACCTCCTCCTTTCTCTCATCCGTCTGTTTGTCGTCGCTGGCTGCAGATGTGGGGGATGTTTCACAGGGAATCTCTGTGAGGGAAGCTCCGTTTTCAATGTCAGATAAAAGCGGTGGGTGTGATTCTAGAGTCGTACATTCCGCGCCTCCGATTAACGGTTCGGGCTTTATCTCGTAATGCGCGGCTGCAGACTGGATTCCCGTCAAACACAACGACGCAGAGAGAGGATCCAACGCCCAGGAGCGCGCAAACATGCCATCTGCGTCTCCGCTGTATTGGTGATGTAGGTAAGCGTTCGGAGGGTGCGCCCCGATGGTGCCCCAGGATCCTCCGAAGATAGAGGATTTCGGTTCCTGTCCGCCATATTCGTTGTGCGACGCCTGCTCCATCCCTGCAGAGGATGAGTACCTCATCGATGCTATTTCTTCCTGATCGGAAAGAATGCGCGCGTCTACATAGTAGCCTGTTCCCATTGTTCCAGATCGAAAAGATATACAAAGCAATAAAGGGAAAAAATGGTGGACGAAATTCAAAACCTCCCTTTTACAATCCTTTAACGTTTAGAGAACGGATTCAATCCATTGCAAGGTGCCGCGTTGGTGCGCCACCTACAAGCTCCTTGCGTCCAGTAACTTGAACACTATCCAAAATTGGATAGGGCGCCCCAAAACACGTGACCGTGGGACAGAACAATAAATAATAAATCAGCCCCGCATACCGCTCGGCTTAAAAAGGGGGCCACCATTTTCCCCTCACCATATTTTAATAGCAAATCGCCGCGCTTTTATTGGCAAATATTTCCTTTTATTAGCAATAAACGTTGTGATTTTGGTCCAGGGATTCCCATTTATTGTAAACCATCAAGGCTGTGAATATACGAGCAGAGTTATTGGTTCTTTAACGCTTCTTTTCTATAAATAACCGATTTGGAGAAAGAAACATGGACGCTGAAATGTGTTAGATTTGAAATGAAAGCTTTGGAAAAGCCTTGGGTGTAAATATCCTTAACGCAACTTTTGTTATTGTTTTTCTATTGTAGTTATTCTTACATATCGAACATGTGAAGGGTACTTTTGCAAATAACCTTAAGGGTAGTTTCCACACTGGAAAAAAAAAATCAAAATCTAGATCTAGCTAGAAGTAATTTCTTCTTAAAATAGGTGCATTTTTGAGGAGGGGAAAAAGACATTTTGCCAATGGAACAAGACAATTGACACTTAAAATAAGAAATCACAATTGTATTGTCTTATTTCCGGTGCATTTCATCTAATCATTTTATTTTAAGAGTAAAACTACTCATTCCATTTGCAAACTATCTCATTTACCTGCTCATATTAAGGGTGAATACACTTAATTTAAGACATTTTTACTTATTTCTAGATCGTTTTTCCAGTGCAGGAGATAACCAAGCTGCGTCTATAAGCCAGGCTCCACTTTAAAGGCAATCCTAGGCGGAAAGCAGCAGGGTTAAAGTTATGTGGGTGCCATATAACGGTCCATTTTTACCACGGGCAATTGGGTTGTTTTTCTCCAGGTTACAGCTTGGCTGTCTAAGCTAAATATCACCAATAAAGCTCACCCTTTGTCCTCTTTCTCTGCATGATCCTTGCAGACACATCCGGCATTTTTAAAGCAACTGGCGAGACTGCAATGGTCATAACCGAGGCCTTGTGTGTCCAAACCTTTTTTCCGAGGTGTAGAAATAAAAAAAAAGGATTTACTACTTTTTTTCTAAGAGCCTAAGATCTAAAAATATTTTTTCCCTCTGATCATGCTGTTCAGCTAATTGAATTTTCCAAAACGTGCAGAAATCTGACGATTCATCCGAGTAATTTGCTATATTTTACGCACAGATGATTCTCTGTTCACTGTTTATGAAAAGAAAAAAGCTTATGATTTATGCGCCAAACGTTAATAAAGATGTTCCAACGAGGTTTGCTTTTAATTATAAGATGATTTTCACTGAGGTAATCAAGGCAGTTTCGTGTTGTGGAAACATAAAATAAAAAGCCCAACAACATGAGACTACCTAAACCACGCAGCAGCCTGCTCTCCTGTGAAGCGATTAGTGTTTTTGGTGTAACTTTAATTTTAATAGTGAAAACTTGTTTAAAACCGTTTGTTGCTTGAAAAGAGCCTTTTAAGTATTACATTTTCACTCCTTCTTTTTTCTCATTGATAAAATATCCGAGGTCTGCTTTTGCGTAATTGTTGTACCCTGTTGTCCAAGAAGTTATTTTTAAAGATTCGTCTTTTATAAAACAAGTCTGTGAAGATGGTGCATGCCTTCTGGTTAAGCAAAGTGAATGTAAGTTAAAAGTCTGTTAGCCAACATGAAGATTCAAACCAAACGTCACAACTTATAGGTTCTACTGATTGGGAAAACCAAAGGAAACTTGCATCAAATTCTAACAACATAAATAAGTTTAAAGCTGTTGGTATGTGCGGGATCTTCCAGCATCTCCAGATATGCTCTCCTCGTTGCAACACAATACACTGGAAAAAAAATCGAAATTAAGATAAGTAATTTTTTCTTAAAATAAGTGCATTTGTTCTTTGATTGAGGAGGTAAAAGCGACATTTTGCCAATGGAACAATATAATTTACATTTAAAGTAAGAAAACACAATTGAGTTGTCTTATTTTAAGTGCATATTATCTAATTATCTTATTTTAAGAGTACAAATATTTATTCCATTGGCAAACTATCTCATACCTACTCAATTTGAGACATTTTCACCTTTTTCTAAATCGTTTTTCTAGTGTATGGACCATTTTTACTCCACTGCATTTTCATCACAAACAGTTCCAAGTGAAATAAAAGTGAAGCATGCCTAAAAATCTTGTTTGTTTGTTTGTTTTATGGTTTAGCTTGTTTTGTTGTTGTTGTTTTATTGCTTTGTGGGGGTTTTTTTTTTGTTTGTTTTTTTTTTTTTTTTGGGATGGGTCACATGACATAAAAGACTTAGCTTTAATGTTGTGGTTTAGCGCTCATATGGATGAAATGATGGATTGAAAAGGTAATATTCAGCATATATATCGGGTCTAAATCTCTACAGTCAATATTAAATGATTATAACAAACACCTCCTTAGATGCCTGGTATTTTATATATAAAAACAGGTTTGTTTTCAGTGTAAGATTCCCATTGAATGAAAAGGGAAAGCACTGGACTTGTACAAAGAATGAGCATTTAAAACAGCACACAAAGCCCCTCATGGGGATGTAATAATATGTCTGCGGCTACATTGTTTTTTTATTCATTAGAGCAGCTAAATGTGCAAATATTTTCAAGACCTTTTCTTTTTTCAGCTTTCACATTAAGGTCTACATGTAACTGTAACACAAATGAGGCAGTGGTAAGTCCAGCATGCAAAATCCAATGGATCACTCAGATTGAGTGTACAATATGTACAAGCCGGGACAACTGGATGGATGGAAAGGTGGCGGTATATAAATACAAATCCACGACAAGAACAGCTCTGATCAATAAGTTAGTTTCCAGAGTTTGGGTGGAGGAGAGGGAAGAAAGGAGAAGAGGAGGAGTAGGAGGAGAAGGGTGTTTCTCATCAAAGTCTCACGAAAACCCAAAGTTGCTGGAAAGCTCCCGGATCCTGTTCTCGCGGCTCATCTTTTTCAGTTTCATCCTCCGGTTCTGGAACCAGATTTTAACTTGCCTGTCGGTGAGGTGCACGCTGCGGCTGATCTCGAGGCGACGCTCCCGAGTCAAGTACATGTTGAAGAGAAACTCTTTCTCCAGCTCCAGAGTCTGGTGCTTGGTGTAAGGGCAGCGCTTCTTCCTGCCGCTCTTTGCTGTCAGCCAGTTGGCCGTGCTTTCTGTCTTCCCATCTCCTGTTAACAGTGGGGAAAGGAGCGCAGTGTTACTGCAGGCAACAAGTATCATAGAAGATGAGCTGTTAATTAGAAGCAGGCACTTAAAACGATGTTGCGCAAGTTTGACAAGGCCAGTCTGCTATTGATTTCAAATTTATTATCTGACTTACAAACGCTAAGATAAGAGCAAAGATATGATACTATTCTTTTTGAAACTATACCATATTGGTATAGTTTTCATCTCAATTTTACGCACACATGTAACCAAAGACAAATAACGTGTAAATTATATATA